TTATTTCAGTTTACTTTTTTTCAACTATATGAATTTACGGAAGGAGCTTATTGTAAGACTCACAGAGGACCAAAAACTGTACGGGTGCACGGTGTGAAAAAAACAATCCGATATTGTTCCTGTAATGTGCGCGTTCTTGCACATGTTACCCTTCAAAATTTGGACATTTCGACTTTTGAATAAAATCCTGCAGGAGACGGGAAATTCGAATCCTCATGTTGCCGCTCTTTGTGATGTTCGCAATAAAATATGCCACGTTCCTACGACAACATCTTTGACTCATCAGGGATATATGGATCTGTGGACCACAGTTGAAACAGAAGTCTTAAAACTTGCTGATCATCTTGACCCGAGTGTAAAAGATATGATTAAAGAACAGCTTGAACTAATAAAAACATGTGAAATAGATGAGAAAACGGCTTTAGTACTTATGAAAAAAGTGGAAGAAGTAAAAATTGTAAGTATCAATTGTTTATACTTTATGTGCTAAAATTTTACTGAGAAAACAATTTCTAGATATATGCGAAAAAGATATTACGTACACTTTCAAATATACTGTATATAAACCATTCAATGTTTTAACATTATATAATTTTCAAAACTTCGTTCAAAAACGGTATTACCAGGTAAGAAATCCGATAGATTTGCGAGTACTAGTATTTACAACAGTTTATAAAATTGCTTATCATGTGAAAATGCACATTACAAGCGTTTTCCTTTATTTATATAATGTTGGGTATCACTTTCGTCTACAAGTTCTGTAATTATTACAATGTATTTAACTAACTTATTAGAGACCTGGAGATTTAAATCCGAAAATTTAAAGAAAAAAAGGAAGATAGGTAGATAGATGGACAGATGGAGCATTCTTTTATATTTCATTTTAAAATGAAAACAAATTATCCACTTTGGATCATTTTTCCTTTTTTAATATGAATGTAAAATGAAAAATGCTCCACATGGCGTGGAGCCTTCAAGAAAAACAATGGTTGTGCTACTTTCACAATTGTTACTTGATCATTTTTTTTACATTTACTTGTTACATGCATAGGTTTCAAGTGTCTTAACAATAACATTATTTTGCATTGTGTATATGTTGAAATTCTTATAGATATGTCCAGATGTTCAAATGATAAGCATTCAATTTTTTTTACAAATTTAAAAGATTGAATGCTTATCATTTTGTCTATCTTTATCTCCTGATATTTCGCAAAAATATACAGAAAATAAATTAAAAAAAGATGAAACCAGAATGACATTAATGACAAAAGCATCATTGCTTTTAATCATTTGGAACACAGAACGTCGATATGATTAATTTTGTATGTGTCTTTTTTAATCTATAGATGGCAGCTACAAATATGGAAGAAATAAAAAACCTGCAAGACGTGACGATTGAAATAAAAGCTCATGTTGATGAAAAGCTTCAAAAAATGGCAGATCAACAAAAAGTTCATGCTGAACTTTTAGAAAGTAAGTCAGAACATGCAAAATTATTGCAGCGTTGTATTCTTTGTTTACTTAGAAAATAAGAAGTTCATAAAAGCATACTAATTTTTGTCCATTTCAGTAATGCAGTAAGATATAATCTACCTTGGATAATTTTATAAGATAAAATCGTAACATTTCACTCTAAATTTATTTATTGTTATAACAATATCTTGTTAAGCTTTTTAAAAGTTTAAAATGAGTAAAACTAAAAACAAAGGTGAACAAATCAAAAGTTTTATTTCTGGCTTGATGCTAAGAAGAAAGAGGTTGATACGCTTATTAAATCTATGTAAACTTTAAACTATTATAGGGTAAATTGTGTCAATTAAATTTTCTCAAGAAAAGTGATTTGAATGCCTCAGCAAATTTACATTTCCTTTTTATGTAGGTACAGAGAATAGAGTTGATCAAGCTGAAATTCAAGTGAAGGAAGCTATTGCCAGAGAGGGAACGGCAACAAGAGCACATGTTGATAAACAATTGAAGGTGTTTTTCGAAGCAGGTAGTAAAAGTATTGAAGATATTTGGAACGTTTTGCTATGTAAGAGAGGTTTGATCCTCTTTTTCAAAATAACAAGCTTTTTAAAAGACTGTCATATATTAATAGTTTATGAATAACGGGAATTAAAAAGAATTAATGAAAGGTCTGTGTCCTTGTTTATGAGATATAAATAATTTAAAGTTTGACAAGAAATGATTCTTTCTTGTTTTTTTTTCATATATTTAACATTGGCACCTTTTTCTTTCAAATTTTGAAAATATTAAAAGGATTTTATAAGATTTTCAAAAATAGTAAACGTATTTGATTATGAAATGAAAATTAGGGGTAAGCGGGCAAAATTTGTAATGATACTTCATGGACAAAACAAAAGGATTCCGATTTATTTTTTTGAAAAGGTCAAAAACAAGAGCAAACAACCTTAATTGTGGACAATGTTGATGTGGTTTTTTTTGCACAGTGATTACCATAGATTTCAAGATTGAAACTTACAATAAAAAGGAAAGTGTAGCAGGAAAACTTGTTTAATAACTGGAATCTAAAATTATGATAAGCAGTCTTATAATAAGACAATTTTAAGAGGATCATGAAGTGTTATAAACTGTCGTATATATACAGGTATAAACATGTGACAAATTTATGACAAGTCTTCTCCATTAGATAGCACGTTGTTATACAGGGCTAACATCATAAGCACCGAAAAGCTATATTTTTATGTAGCCTAGGAGTTCGAGTGGGCTAGGGCGCTGGAAACGGTACAGACGGTGTTGCCACGATGTAACAGACACTGAGGGAAGAACAAACATCTCCTAATGCAAATTTGCAGATCTAACATTGTTGGGCTTAATTTGATACGATTTGTATATATTTATTATGGTCTTAGCCCTGTATAATCACGTGTTATCAGATAAAGACAGTTTATCTATGTCTCTGACAAATTCTATCGTAAAGGATCGTTAGATGCTGTCACAGAAATGATTATTTGATAAGTATACGTCTCAATAAGTGATAACTCTACTAGAGATCCGTCCATTAGATCACCAGTGAAGGTGATACACGGCTGAAAACACATATTATATTCATAATAACTCTAAATTTCAGCACAACAATGTTTAATCTGCAAATCTGCGGAAGCAAATGTTTGTTCTTCCCTCGCCGGTATTCGTACTCATTGTATTGGAATATCGAGACAACGCCGCCTGCACTGTGTCCAGCGCTCAAGATCACACATGAGTCCGAATACCGGGGAGGGAAGAACAAAATTTGCGCAGATTTAACATTATTGTGCTGATTTTTATTTTCTGGGACAGAGGAACAACTTTAATTTAGAATACGGCCTCATTCGAATAGTTTAGAGCAAATGTATATATGAATTGATACTTGCTTGTTTTTTATATAGTTATTGATGACGAAAAGAAACATATGGTAGGTAAGCTATCTATTTCATTAATTGATACGAGCTAAGTGTGAAAAAGATAAAACAAATAAATGGAAAACTATATTTTTTGTCAATGAGAATTTTGCTTATGACACCACGGTGGCGGCAGAAGGTTTTAAGGAAATGTTTCCTATTCAAATCAACATAATAGTTAATAGTTAGATATTGTACAAATTAATGTTTTATTTCAATATTTCTTAAAGGTCATTTAAATCAATGACATCATTTTTGTATTCAAAAGTGACCATTCATAAAGGGGCAGATATTAAACGAAGGGAGCAACTTTTTGGAGCTTGAACATGTTGAATAGAATATAAACAAATATTCCTCCTTTCTTCCCATTCACTAAACAATACAATCCTAGTTCACATAACTCATGTTCATAATTGGAGACGTAGCCTTTAGATGGATTTTGCTATTTTTTAGGTCCTTTTAGGTTTATAGCTCTTCAACGTTTTCGGTCCTTATACATCCTTGGCTTTCAAATATTGGGGACAGCTGTTTGTGTAATGAACAGTGTTTTTCAAATATGATACGCTATGCCAAGTGTGGCGATATCTCAGAAGAAACATATGCATGATAATACAAAAAAAAATTGAAAACAACATGTTATACATTTCATGTGTTTGAAGCGCTATTCTAAATTTACCTTCATCAGGAACGCTCAATATTTACCTTCATCAGGAACGTTCAATATTTATTGAGCATAAATGGACAATAAAACTCGACGTGTTGTAACATGGATATGTGTTGTATATAAGCGAAAAACAAATGAAAAAAGAGCTTACAATGGGCTGACAAAATTTCAATATTAGCAAAGATAGGACAAAAGAATATATACGTTAAAAACTAATTTTTCAAATCTTCAAAAATCTCAAACATCTCTTGTGATGTAGGCAAAGGTGTGAATTTTTTAATTTTAATAATTTCCATACCGCGACAAATCGATCAATGATATATTTTTAAAAAGGGTTGCATATTGTACAAAGAAATAAAAAGAAAGGCATGAGAAAAAGTCATGACCAAATCAGTCCAGTATCAATCAAGTTGGGCCTTTTAAGCTCTTCAACGTTTTTATTATGTTTTTTACTCGAGTATAACTGAAGATCAGTTAAGTGTCTAGATGCACATCTATTGCAATAAAATTGGTATATCTACTGTTTTCAAATCACTTCAGAAACCAGTGTATGATTCTTAATATACATGTTTGTATTTTTGCTACAACAGGGACATCAACTGACAATGATAAAGAAGAAAAAGGCGATTGTAGTAGTTGCGATCAGAAGGACATGCAGATAAGAAAGTTAGAGAAGATTAACAACAAGATTAAGGAGCATAAATGGACAATAAAACGATTTCTGTCTCAACCAGATCGTATGTATATTTCATTGAAGAATCATTAAGTGTCATTAAAGAATGCTTGTGAAAAGTCAGTGGTAATTCAGTCCCGGAATGTGGGACTTTTTGAAGTGAAAAGTAATAATGTTGTTCATTTACTAATATACATTCTACATTCATGTGTCTTCGATTTGTGAAGCTATCAGTCTACATGAATACGCAAAATTGTTCAAGATGAAGTATAAGATACAGAACAAAGGTAACAAAAACAATCAGGCTGTAACAACCGTTGTCGTATAGTTTTTCTGCACGAGTAGTCAGGTCAAGTCAAAGACCAACTACAAGTGCAGAAAAACTATACGACTGGTTGTTAACATCCCGTTTATTTTGTTACTTTTGTTTTGTATCTGACTTGTACGACGTTTTTAATTAGAAAGTAATACATTTTGCATTTAAGATGATTGCATAATCAAAAAGATGGAACACAAAAAAAAGTGCATATCGGTTTATGTACCGCGATGTTTGGGGATATTTAGTCTTTGATACACAAGGAATTTTGCGATAACACTAGGTCTTCTTAATTCTATCAGCTGGGTGCGAGTAAATCATTTCTTATTCTTTTGATACATATCAGTGAAGTATGAGTAGATTGAAAAGTGACAGGGAAAAAAAAGACCTTTAATCTATATTTCTATCAAAGTAGTCTAATAGTCTAAAACTAAGTTAATGTCCTCTTTCGTAGCCACTTCATATTCTTATAACCAAATAAATTGCCAAAGGGGGATCTTAATTGTTTTGCCCATCACCTCTGCAATTTTGTAATACCCTTTCCCTGCTCCTACATTTATATATATATATATATCCCTCCACAACAGGAAAAAAGCATACATACGTAAAAACAAAGACAGCCGAACAAAGAAATATGTTTATCATCCTCCCTGCCACATTTTGAAAGTGACAAAAAAGCAAATAAATAAACAACAAAAATATGAATAACAGATTTAAGACATTTAAAAATTCAACTACGTATGCAAATGAAATAAGAAAGAGTAAACATACAAATATAATTATATTTTATGAACACTTTTCATATAAATCATATCTATAAAACAAGGTAATTAGGTCACAAAGTGTACGATTAAGTGCCTATGAACTCATTGTATGCACGAGTGACTCTATTCATAAAAATTGTCCGTGTAACTTCATAAAAAGTGTCTGTGTAATACCCGTTATTGTATTGTTTTTCTATAACTCTGCTGGGAGCAAAGTCTTACAACGCTACTTGTATGTTTCCTTTTATTACAAGCTATCCTATTTATTTGGATGAAGTAGGATGTTTAATTTTCCTCTCTCTCCAAAAGACAAGTTTTAAAACCATCTGTTTAAAGAATTCATTTGCATTTGTTGGTAAGACAATAAAGGTAATAAGTAGCATTCTTGGATTAAACGAATTTATGACATTTGCACAGCGGGAAAGGAGCAGCGTAAGATACCAAAGGGACCATCAAAATCATAAGTTGAAGACGAAGTCTGAAACACACAACATAGAAAACATACGACTGAGAAACTCAAACTTCACAAAAAAAAACAACTGGGGGTGATCTTAGTTGCAGTTGCAGGGTAAGCATGTCCTGCTCCACATGCGGCACCAGCAAACTGATTCAGCTTATTTAGAATGTTCTTCCGATGTCGGAAGATAGATTGTCGTCGATGAATTCAAACGTATTAAGCTTGCTGCTGTTTCATATTTTGAAGCGAAAAGCAGTTGCGGTACTTCCTGTATATATAAAATCACTTCCAGTTTTCACTTAACATTGATTCCAAAGAATATACTTTCACTTAAAAGAAGGGAAATATTTAGTCAATCCCGCTTTATAAAACATTTTTTCATGTGAACTAGCTAGTTTGGTCTATTCTGTCTACTTTCTTAAGCTAGAAAGGCCTGGTACTACTTCTTAACTGTCAAACAGAAATGAAATATCAAAAGCAAAACAAGTTGAACAAACTATGCAAGTTGTAATCTTTTATTTTCATTATGAACAGTGGAAGAAATCGCTGACGAAGCCATTGACTACACGTCTGATTACTCATCAGGTATAGAAATAGGTAAATACTCAGATATAAAATGAAAATATTTATATCTATAGAATAATGGTGTGTTTACAATCGACTATTCTCCACTGATGCTACAATTTCGCAGAGTTAAAAAAAAACCTGTTGTTTTCCATCTTATAAACTGCTGTCACAACCAGTATATAAAGCAATACAGTATGTTCATCATCTAATATTGATCATGAAACCGAAAATTGAACATTTGAAAATTCTTAAAACGTTTCATTTGACACTTTTACTCCAAGAAGACGACAAAAATTAAAATGAACTCCAGATGTATTGGGGTTATTTATTTCATAAAGTATGGAGGATGCAAAAAACAAATGCCCGTAGATACACCTACACAAGTAAACATATAATTAATTAATATATGAAATAAGAAAATTCTTTATATGAGGAAGTATGACACATTATCATTATTATATATAATAATTATCCGTTAGTTTTAAGTGACAATCTGCCTAAGAATCAGGCAGTGGTGAAAACATGACCAAAAAAAACCACTCAAGTTGACATTAATTTATGTTCAAATTGTATCATGGTGCATGAATATAACATTCGTTTCCTTGTCCTGTTCTGGTAATTCAAGATATAATTTGGTTGAAATGCACTAGAAATTCACAATTAAAGGGAGATAACTCTGTAATTTGCTATCATTCTAACCAAAAGTTATCTAGAGATTTCTCGAATTACCGGAACAGCAGAAACAAAAGACCTACCATTTCTAACTCAGGATGAGGGTAACTTCAAAATAGGATAGATTGGTCGGTGGGTTTTTTTCGGCCATGTTTTGAAATTTTTCTAAATTGCCTGATTCTTACAAAGACTGGCACTTGATGAAAACATAGTAACGGTGTATTACAGTCCTTATAGAACATATGCAAAATAATAATTATGACCTTACACCAATGTTTGAATTGGATTAAGTTTTTGTCAAAGTTTAAAATGCTTGTATGATTCTATTGTAAATGATATAACAATGACCTACAATGTGTTAAAGTTTATCAAAGAAACATGACATTCAGTTTGGTACTACAGACGCACGTTTATATAAATAAGAAGATGTGGTATGAGTGCCAATGAGACAACTCTCCATCTAAGTCACAATGTATAAAAAAATCACAATCATAGCTCAAATACGGCCTTCCACACGGAGCCATGGCTCACACCGAACAGCAAGCTATAATGGGCCCCAAAATGACTAGTGTAAAACAATACAAACAGGAAAACCAACTATCTGATCTATATAAGAAACGAGAAACACCTATGAACCATATCAACAAACAACAACCACTGAACAACAGGCCCCTGACAGGTGCATAAAAATTCAACGGGTTTCAATGTTTTAACAGGCGCCAACCTTCAACCTAACATGAGACAGTAGTGTAACATTACAACATAAAAAGACCCACTATAAAATATCAATTGAAATGGCTTAACTCGATCAAAAAGACATTAAACAAAAACAAGTAAATATACACTGAACGAATAAGTTTGATCTATGATACAATATAAATACAATATTAAAACGTAGATGCCTATATAACATAGACGTTACAGGTCGTATTAAATAAGATGTAGGAACAGTGTCAAAAAGACAACTCTTACATGATTTAGTCTGTTAAAGACTCATCAGCGGAGCTCGTATAAAAACAGTATAAATTTCAAATAAAATATTAATTGAAAAGGGTTGGAAACAAAATTTCCGTAAATTTGTGTCAAAGACGACTAATGCTGTCTATACATAGTTTCATGTCAACACATATTATGTAACCTAATTCTATACGGAGTCTGAAACATAAGGTTGGTAAGTACTTTTATTTGACACAAATTCAATACGACTACCTCCAGTTTGTATAAGTCACTTTTGGTTACATTTGTGCATAAGAACAAATGTTCCTGTTGTTCTTAGTCTTAGTTAATTGAATAATTGGAGTAAGAAGTAAATCACTCTGAAAACGTAATCACTTCTGAATATAAATAAGAAGATGTGGTATGAGTGCCAATGAGACAACTCTCCATCTAAGTCACAATGTACAAAATGTTAACAAATGTAGGTCAAAGTACGGCTTTCAATACGGAGCCTTGGCTCACACCGAACAGCATGCTATAAAGGGCCCCAACATGACTAGTGTAAAACAATTCGTCTAATCTATATAAAACGGGAAACACCTATGTCAATGAATGTCCACTTCTTATGAAGTAGTTAAATTTACAATAAACGTGCATTAAATCAAGATTAAATAACTCTCGCTATTTGTCTTATGCTTTTATGTTATTAAATTTCAGAAGAATTAACAGATGAAGAATTTTCTGAAAATAGTGACTATATAACTTGTCCATCGTCAGGTATACAGTATACTTATAAGAATGAGTACGACTTCTAAAAAATATTGATGTTTTACATGAAACTAGAGGGTAAATAATTGTGTGAATTTCCCTTCTACTAAAACCACCTACAACAGCCATAATAAAATTAAAACGGGTAATGTGTCAAAGAGAAAACAACTCGACTAAAGAGCAGAAAACAGCCCAAGGCCACCAAAGGGTCTTCAAAACAGCGAGAAACTCCCGCACCCGGAGTAGGGCTTCAGCTGGCCCCTTTAACAAAAATGTGTACTTGTTCAGAGAAAATGGACATCACACTAAATTCCGAAACATATAGACGAACAAAAATCTAAAAAATAACATACAAGGCTAACAAAGGCCAGATGTTTCTGACTTGGGACAGGCGAAAAATGCTGCGGGGTTAAACATGTTTTGTGATATCTCAACCCTCCCCTTATACCTCTAGCTAATGTAGAACAAACACACACATAGCGATTCGCAAGTAAAACTCAGTTTTAAAAGAATCTCGAGCTGGCTTATATGTCCAGATGCAACATTATCCAACTATAAATAGCAACCAGAGAAAGATGTAGTATACCCAACTCTAAAAAGGGTTGCTTCATTGGAATCACCTTGTCATCCGTTAATCGAACAAATAATTTTGTCACACTATTCTTAGAAACCAATAATTAGAACGGCCTTGTATTAGTCAACAACTTAGCATTGATGAGTTGAAAAGTATGCTAAATATTTGGGTCAGTCAGACATCTACTGCCTGTTTGTAGATACTTTCAATATTTCAATAGGTTAAATAAACTTAAAAAATTTAGACCCACGTTTCTACAGTACAATAGAATAGAACGACTTTGTATTTGGTATTTAACTTGATAATAATGAGTTGTAACTCGTGGATACTCTTTTGGTCTGTGGGTAATCAATCTCTTTTGGGGTTATCCTTTGTACTTTTAAGGTTGCTTAATAAAAACAATATATTTTCGTCATCCTTTTTAAAAAAAACTGCTTAACAGAATGACTTCATACTTGGTCAGAAGCTTGACAGTGATCACATATTTATTATTATGAGAGCTATTGGGCACCTTCTTCCTGTTTTCCAATACTTTACAATACAAGTGGTGCATAATTGGCACGACAAAGAATACATTTTTAATATAAAACTATTGATTGAAATAAAAACTTACAAACCAAAAAGTAACCTCGGTGACAGAGTTGTCTACGAGGTTTACCCGCAGTTATCACTAGCCTGTCAACACTGAGGTTGTGGGTTAGAATCTTATGTCGACTATTGCGGGTTGCGTTTGTCTCCAATTTTCATTTAAAAGGGTACCAAATATCCGGACGAAGATCGGTGGTTCTCTTGGGTAACTACGGCTATATCAACCAAAAGATTTTCACTCCGAAACAAGTGTGTTTATATACAACATAAATGTACAAGCATGTCACACGAGCATGTTTTTCTTCGTTTCGTAGCTTTTTCGTTAATCACTATGCATTCATATCGTGACGTAAATTAGGTATTAAGGGTGTACGATACAGTAGCAAGTGCTGATAATAATGCACCCAAATAAAGTGATTTGTTTTCGCAACGTTGCTAATAATAAGCAACCAGAATTCGCGCACAAAGCACTTGCGTCATCAAACCATTTAATAAATTTGAAAGTACAACATTTATATGCAAAAGGAAACGAACATGTTTGTATATTTAAACGTGCACCATTTACTGCGGGGTCATACGATTCGAGACAAATGATGACTGTTTACTTCTATCATCAATGTATTAGAAATTAATGTTTAAGGGAGACCATGTCCTTATTTTCTTTCACTTTCCCGACGCCCGGTATATTTAAAAAAGAAACTGGTATCCGTCCAGACTTTTTTTATTGGGTACCTGCTTCTATCGTGTTAGAATAAATATTTCAAAAATAGCTTCCACTAGATGTTCAGTCATTTAATTCCCCCTCTTCTTAAATTATACGCCCTACTGCTTTGACAGCGGACAACATGGTAAACATCAAAGAAAATGTTGTCATCAATCCCTATGCTTTTCGTGCTTTAAATATACGTTAATTCGTAAATTGTGTGCTATTCGTATAACCTGTCAAAAACTAACTAAACTTTATCATCTAGGGTGTTTATATTTAAGACGGGTTAAGAAATAGAAATGTGTGTTAGTTTCTGATAATTATTCATGTATGGAATATATTTTATTTATATTTATATTTGTATTTCATACGACATGTTTTGTCTTAGAATAGTGTAGGAAAAAATGTTGATTGTACAACTTCAGATTTGACTCAATCACGTCTTTTTCTGTTTCTAGTTAGATTGGAAAGCGCACCAATACAGTGTTATGTGGGACACTCATTTGAATCAAGTCTAGAAAAATTGCGATTAATGATGATGGAGCAGAATTTTGACGGTTAGGCATATTTTATTATTCATTTTTTATTGTAAATGTTTTTTAAAGTCATGAATTTCTTCTTTTTTGGAGGGGACGGACATCGCATTTGTGTTGATATTAGTTATTCTACATAATGTTGATTGCATTGTTTCGTCAAATACAAAACATTTAATAATCTCTTGCTATGCCAGCTAGAGAAATCTTAAGGTTTGAAGTAATATCTAGTACGTAGTTAAAACGCAGACCTGTGCAATTACCTTATTGAATTTGCTTTGCGCACTTCTCTAAAGATTTAATTACTCGTGGACTAGGAAATGCTTACTCTTCTGGAAGGCATTAATTAATCCACTCCCAATTTTTTATAGGTAATTCGATTTTGTTTTATGTAAAATGTTGTGAGTTTGTGTTATGCAATTTGTTGTTGTTTCTAACAAAGTATTTGGTTTGATCAAGTGGTAATTTTGCTCAAAAATCTTTAATCTTAAGCATTACAGTTTTGTAGTAATATCTAAAAATATTGATTTTCTACACTTTACACTGCTATTTTTACGTGATCATTTGAAAGATCGACAACATCTATTAATTAAACCATTCTTTTTTTTTCTACAAATAATGAATTTTAGCGTTCTTATTGGTTCTTGAATCTCATACATCCCATCTCAATTATCAAGAGACATGTTTGTACTATCAGAGACATGAGAAAAGTCGTCTGATCTGTAAATTTACATCTTTTGTCATGATCACTATCAGCCCAATTTTGTTCCAAAACACCTGATTTCATCTTGGTTACTTAATTAACTGATTGTTAATGTTGATACGATCAACTAGCTTTTTCATTTCTACTGTTTGTAATCCCGATAAATCGAACAACAAATGATTATTGATGCCAGTTAAGAAAAACAGTTACGAAAACACTATTTACTCAATGTTAAACAACAACAACAACAACAGAAACAACAAATACAACTGAAAAAAAAGAACCCCACCCTGTCCCCCATTAAAAATTTAATCGAATATGTCCATGGGTTTTTCTCGTTTAGTTCGTTTAACATTGTGTCATGTCGGGCATGTTGAAGATTCTTGTGTAAACGAACGCGCGTTGTAAACATTATCAGCCCTCATCATCTATGATGAGTTTTTCCACAATCACCGGGTCGACACCACTACAAGTGGACGTTTCTTCTACTTGTTTATAACCAACCAAGAAGTCTGCACTCATGTGTTGACATGTCATATCATTTATACGTCTTTTGGAAAATTTAATGTTCATAACATTGTTAAATCATTCGAAATACGAACGTTTGTAGCCCTATATTTGTTTGAAATAGCACAATTTTCTTTGGAAATTTGTTTTCCATGCTCTTCAACGAATTTGGTCTTCGAACTCAACATTGAGATCCGAGCATTATTGTTGAATCTTTTAATGGCGAAACATTTATCTGGCGTGCAAAATTATGAGGCTTGTATGTAAGATGAGTTATTTTCTTCAGTATATGAAAGTAATTCTAGATCGGTGCTTTGTTTAATTTTTTTATTTGGTTATTTGCATATGTTTATAAAAATAAGGAGATGTTGTATGATTGCCAATGAGACAACTATTCACCAAAGTTCAAAAGAAGTGGATGTCAGAAATTATATGCAACCGTACGGCCTTCAACAGTAAGAAACAGCCATACCGTATGTTCGGCTATAAAAGGCCCCGTCATGAAAAATATTAAACAATTCAACTGAATAAACAAACGGCCTATTCATAACAAAGCAATTTACGAAAAACAAACATGACAGACACGAACCAACGACAACCAATGAACTACAGGCTCCTGACTTGAGACAGGCACGTGTAGAATGTGGCGGACTTAAACATGTTTGTGAGCGCTCAACCCTCCCCTAACCTGGTAATGTTATAGCACAACATAAGAACAAACTATAAAAATCAGTTGAAAAGGGCTTAACTAATCAGATCGATACAAAGCTGAAAAACATCTAGCAAAAACTCAGTCCGGACATGGCAGGGTATTTATACATCCCCACAACAAAAAAGACACAAGTGCAAATCTGAGAGTACTCGCAGTTACTAACAGCTAATTCAAAGCCAATAACAACTAATAAAAAAATCATTTATCTAAGACTAAAATATCAATCAGTCTACATCCAATAGATTTAGTGTAAAGATGTCTTAACAGTCAGAGAAAAACATGACCATGTGCAGTTCCACGCACATTGTTACCACATATAATTATCTGTCTTAACTAGTGGTATTCGTTAGTTGTCGTAACTGTTTTGTAACTGTTGTTTACTCATATTAGCCGATAGTCGTCCCTGTTGAATTATATTACTTTGCTATTAATTAATTGGCTGTTAAATATTGTCATCGGTAATAGAATATCGGTAACCCAGTAAATGAATTTTAGTATTAAAAGCCTGAATAATTTATCATTAAGTCATGGTCAGTTTTTCCGTCAATTAGACCCAGCCACTGCGGTTAATTTGGTACTGTTTATGAAATTCGCTTGCAGTAAATTAAGTACTGTTTAGTTGCTTCTTAAGACATTTTAGTATGTTGTGGATGAATACAGGTAAAGTAAAACTACTACTAAACAGTCTGAACATAAACTGAACAGATCGTAATTGACTGCAAGCGAATTGTCTGATCAGTACTAGATACCTAATTATTAATTGGTCAGATCTAAATGAGCGTTACAGGTCACAATTGGTTAACTAGTGATAGAAAGGCTGCACGGGGACCTACATTTCTGTATTGTTTTGTACGTTTTTCAGTTGTGAGAAGGTGATGCATAGCCAAATACAACACATCTCCCTATATATATATAACTTCTATCGCTTACCTGCCACATGTAGGAAACAAATATCTGGTTTTTTTTACCGGAATCCAATAAAAGTCATATCCAAATTTGCATTATGTTGATAAATAGGCGACGATGAATACGTTCTCACATCATTTTATAGAATCGGGTTTTTTAAGACTTTATCAAAATCAATTGGATTGAATTCGAAACACCATTCCTCTTCGTATCTTTATGTTTGCCTTGAAGAAAGCATAGTCATTCTTAATTAATCTTAAACAATTGAGACATTTGAATTTATTTAGTTTTGCTTAATAAAAACACTTTGCGGTAGGACAAATTCTGTAAACATTTACAATTAAAAACAGCCGTAGTGAATCGCTGTTCAAATCTCATAATATCGTTGTGATCATACAAATTAAATATAAAAAGTTAAGATAATTACATGAACAATTACAATGGCGGGACCGGATACATAGACAGGGTAGTAGTCTCTCGCTATCCACATATCACTCGCCATGCAAATTCACGATCAGTCAAAATATCACAATCTATAGTAGTATACACCTACCAAAGGAACATTCAAATTCATAAGTCGAAAATAAACTGACAACGCCATGGTAAAAAAGAGAAAGACCAAAGGACAAACAACAGTATACAAAAACAGCATAGAAAATTAAAGACTGAGATACACAAAACCCACCAAAACCCGGGTGTAATCTCAAGTCCTTTAGAAGGGTAAGCCGATTTTGCTCCACATGACATATGGCACCCGTCGTGTTGCTCGTGTAAGTACAAACCCGGTTTATAAGTGCAGAAAATCAGCAAGCGAGTTCAGACAAAAACATATTGTAAAGGTCAACCAATTTTTATCATGTGCATTGTAATTTGTTTTATTTTGTAAAAGGGAGAGAGAAACTCCGTATACAGATAATATTTAAGGAAGAGCGTGATATGAAATGGACTACTGATATTCTCAATTCTTTCAAAGAAGAAAATAACGATCGCTTCAGTGGAATAGAATTCTTCCATGTATCCAGCATCAATAAAGGCTGAAAGAAACTCCATTATGTACCAAAAACAATATTGAGGCTTAGTTTCAATAGACAATATATGACTACAAATGTATTACTTTGCTGGGTCAAGTTTTATAGATTATGCGAAATATATTAGTCTTAAAAAATGTATCAAATATAACTTTCATCTCATTTTCTTTTTCTATTGTTACATTCAAACAATAATATGATTTGTTTCAAGATAATTTTACATTATATAAATAGAGATCCATAATTTAATCAACTTAGTTCTTTCAATTATTGTACACTGAAAGGACAAATGATTATAATAGTTGTATTGTAACCTTAAATCAAGGATTTTAATTAGAAGGAACAATATCAATGTTGAATATACACAATTGCATCTTAAGAATTTGAATAATAATGAATTTTGGTTTTATGTTCCTACTTTATTTTTATTTCATTTTGGGATTATTGTTTTTCCAAGTTGGTTGTAATAGTATTGGATTCTGATTTTGGCTTTGGTCGCCACTAACAGTAAAGAGTTGTTCGACATTTTTTGAATTGTACATCAAATAATTTTTGGATCTTGTTATATCATATATATATATATGAAAGATTTTAGAACAAACTTGAAAGGTTATTGCAGATAATTTCTACAAATATCCCCATGAGGGGCATAAATTTAAAACAAAATATATCCCCGAATATACTAGAAGATAAGAAGCAATATTTCTGAAATTCAAGTGCATTAATTTCTGGTATGCAATTTATTACAATGTCCTGTTGTTATTGAGTCAAAAATATTCGAAAACACTTGATGCACTTGTGCATTTCTAGAATTATTTTTTTGTAAGTGTTGCTTGTCGTGAAATACTGTTTAGTGGATATATTTCCTTTGGGATTTAGCCAAAAGCTGTTGACCAAAACACTCACGAAACATCTATGAATTTGAAAGAGCAACATTCAAATTTAGCTGGCTTGTTGTTGTTAACAATGAACAACCCCAAGGACATATATAGCATAGAAATACAAATGTATAGATTCAAAAGTGAATATTGCTAATAAGTAAAAGCATCTTTAGTAATGTGTCCTTATTACAAAAATAAATAGCATTCATATATACACAAGTAATTTCTTTATTTCACTGAGATATAAGATGTCAGAATAGATAATTTCTAACCCTTTTTTTAAGAATACTATAGACAGAAACACAAGTATGTATATAATATACATATCTACAATTCAACCTCAAAATTTGAAAAAAAATCAATACATATTAAGCCATAACAATTTCAGGTTTTCTTTTGCAAATTATTTATCTGTGTGTTGTATTTTATACTTTTTCCAGCATGTATTAACGGTTGCCAGTTTATGATATGCAAAAGTATGTAATGGATCATTATACTAATTTTAGTGTAAACTACAGCTTTACAATGAAAAAGATTTTTCGTTGGTTTTTGAATTAATTTTATGTGTTTCAATTTTGATTTGTTGATTTTGTTTTTCTTATTAAATGAATTATGAATATGTAAAATTAAAGTGTTTCCGAAAAATATTGTAAAATTACTTTTTTGAAGCTTTGTATATCATTTAGTCACCTGTTTATTATTGAGACCGTATATTTACTTTTACATGTGTTTTGACCGTTAATGTTTTGTTTGAGGTGATGGAAGATATGTTGGTGTTTAATTGACCTATATAACATCTACTTTTATTCATTACAACACCCAAGATATTTCATACAACCGAAAGGCCATTTGAAATTTAACTGATTTTTGTTTGTCGTTTCTGTACAGTTCATTACTTCTGCACAGGAAGTGGTTCCTTTCAAATATACGTTTGCATGTTTACGAAAAAAAAATATGACACGAACCAACGGCAACCACTGAACAACATGCTCCTGTCTTGTGACGGGCACATACATAATGTGGCGGGGTTAAACATGTTTAAAGGCGCCAATCCTCCCCCTAACCTGGGACAGTGGTGTAACAGTACAACATGGAAACATGCAGAAAAACATCTGACAAAAACACAGACCGGACGTGGCAGCTGGGTATACATCCTTTAAAACAAGACAAGACGCAAGTTACTGACAGCTTATTTAAAGCCAATATAACGTTTAATAAAAAAAATCATGTAACTAAGACTAAATAAGATTAGCTGTTCTTTTGACATATGGAGAAGCAAGTTAATAAAACTATATGTTTTTTTCATTATTTATACTAACAACCAAAACGTTTTCCTGCGACCTCAAAATTAATAGCGTTCTTGCCAAACAAGTGTGAGTTCTTTTGCAAGGAAAGTAAGTTTTCCAAATGTCTATATACAATTGGTTATTGTCGTTATAAGAGTCTAACCTGTTTTGTCCAGCCACTGTCAGATGCGGGACCATTTTCAGTGTCATATCATTCAAGGCTGTTTTGGTTATTCCCTTCACAATTATGTGTGGAGTTAGCACACCTCCACCTACATTGGCACAAGCATGGAATTAGAGTCACGCTTCCTCTTAAACCCGTTTTACTCTGCACATGCCTCGTTCATTAATTTTAATGCCATTTGTCTTTTTCTTCAAAATTAAAAAGACAGTGTAACTATTTATCTTTATAAAACTTGTCAATTTTTGAATTATTTTTGATAACATCCGATGAAAATTATTTTACTATGGGACGACTATTAATTGTTCGGTAAAGGGAATGGCTGCATGAGATATTTAGAATTGAACATGCTGACCTGTAGGAATTGAAGAAAATGTATTCCTGTTCAAGTCAGCATGAATAGGAATATTCTAACCAACACAATATGAGGTATAATGGTCTAAAAAATAAGCCGTACCTAGCGAAAAGTGAGAATTAATATCTCGTCCTAGAACAATACCCCCCTTTTTTCTCCACTACCACCGGAAATCAAAATAGTCGTCCCATATAATCATTAATGGAACAGTGTTGTGAACTTATAGACAGAGCGAATACTTAATTGTTCGTTTATAAATTTCAATATTAATCAAAAAGAAACTCAGGTTTCAACTCCCGCAGGCAAATTAAGTTGACCTTAGGTGGATTTGGTTATTATTATTATGTACTAGTATCTTTTTTTCTCATATAGCTCCTCAATATACATTCTCGGCTTTTAAATATTCGGCTTTGAACGTTCCTGGTGAATGTAAATCCAGAGAAGCGCTTCGGGCGCATGTAATTATTTAACGTTTTATTTTCATTTTTTAATCAACAAATTATTTTTAAAACAGACGGATATCGAATTTTCTAAAAACATGTATTAACAAGGAAAGTGTATGTTTTCTATTTGTTCCTCCTTGTCTGTTGTTGTTTTTTTTTGTTTTTTTTGGGGTTTTTTTTTTATATGTGATTGTATGGTATTTTCATGTTTTAGTTTGTCACGACGCCTTATTTTTCTGATTAAAATACTATGTTGCTAAATGCGTCTACCTCCAATTAAAAGATACTGTTGTAAGGTTACGTTCAAGAATACGTACAAGTCCATGCGCATAACATGCATTATTATATACTTATTATTTACAACTTATGTATTATTGCTATATCAAAGAATATACACTAGATTACAAAAGTACCGCGTCAGTAGTTTTGATGGAAGATAAATGACTGTCTCGTCTATATTCAATTTTTTTTCCAGACTGCTTTTGGGAGTGTTTCTTTTAATTTAGCAAAATATGACTGTACATTTTCTGGTGACATGTGCTTATAGCGGATTGCTTCCGTCGCCTCCGGTTTCTGAAGGTTGATACATCTGGAAATCTCTTTTTATGTAGTCTCCACATCATAAGTCTTGTCAGATGGGATCTTATTTTTGAATAAGATCCCTCTGTTTTGAGCCAACAGTCGAGCATAGGCTGAGCACTCAGTGGCGGATCCAGATCGGGGCGTACGCCCCCTCTTTACTTGCACTTTTTTTAGTTAAGACTGTAAAATGATTAATCATACTAGATTTCGTTAAATTTGCCATTTCCTGTATATTTTATGCGACAATTCGTTACTCGCTCGTATTTACGTGTAATTAATATATTATTGAGTATGTCAAAGTCACGTGATTCGCTACCGTGGAGTTGACCAGTACGTCGAAAAAACGTCACTAAGTCATTTTGAAATTCAAATTACAGTAACACATTGCTAAGGCCGAGGATGAGAAGCATGACGCCTTCAAAGCGACAAAGGCTGGAGCAAGAACGTATTGACTCCTATTTCACAATTCCACAACCAACATGCAGAAGGTAATACTCTATTACACTCACATGATAAAAAAAAGTTCTACAGCTATAATATCTACCTACGAAAACATGTTTAACCCCACACGCCCCAGCCCATTAATAACTTTACTGAATAATGATCCCCAGTCAGTAATCTCTAGACAGATTAAACTAAACTCTTGTTGGTATTTGAATTATTAAATATTCTTGTGTTTCTTAATGTTTTTAAAAGGAGTTTAGACTAAAGAGAGGGATGTGACTGGAGTGCCTGTTTCGCCCAACTGGTATACTGAGAACTTTTTTCAAGGACCGACTGCAACCTGCCTGCTGCGTGTGGCCGTTTGGTCTCCATTTCTTGACCGTCATTCACAAAATGTCAAATCCTTACACTTTAACTATAAAAGATACATGCCCCACGTCAGGAACCGTTAAATTGGTGCATTTTACACTTATTTTTTTTTTAACCAAAAAAAAGGTAAAAAAATTTTTTCGCTTCGCTCCACTCGGCCAAAGACTCTATTCAACGCCCCCTTTCAAAAATCCTGAATCCGCCCCTGGAGGTTAGGTTTTTTGCCAAACCTGATACATCGGGATAAACAATTAACTACATAGTCGACAAGTTTTCCTCATTGGTTTTGTCAGTGCTGACTTTGGTATATCATACATATATCAGATGCTTTCCTTATGGACATGTTGATTTCACAAATTTCCCTAAGGGCTTCTCGCATTGCATCTTTGTCCAGACTTTATTTTTTCTACTTCTTGGCATAACTGCAAAAAAAGTTGCAAAACAACAATGTAATTTAGGTTTAACCTTTTAATTTTGCATGTAGATAAAATTTATTTGTTCAGTGTTTGTTCACTGGTGTTAATATGTCCTTTGATTGAGTTAAGCTATTTCAGTTGATATTTTATTTTGTGTCTTTCTCTGTTGTGATGTTACACTATTGTTTCAGAAAAAGGATGAAAGTTTGGTACCATTAAAACGTTTAAACCCGCTGCATTTGTTTGCACCTGTCCTAAGTCAGGAATCTGATGTTCAGTAGTTGTCGTTTGTTGATGTGGTTCATAAGTGTTTCTTGTTTCTCGTTTTTTATATAGATTAGACCGTTGGTTTTCCCGCTTGAATGGTTTTTGGGGCCCTTTATAGCTTACTGTTCGGTTTGAGCCAAGGCTCCGTGTTGAAGACCGTACTGTGACCTATAATGGTTTACTTTTATAAATTGTGACTTTGATGGAGAGTTGTCTCATTGGCACTCATACCACATCTTCTTAGATCTATGATTTAAAATTGTCTGACTAGTATTACTAAGCGACTAGTAAGTAGCTCTTTTAAATGTTCTACGTTGCATATTCCTTGCAAAGAAACCCAACTGCAAGCAACGTTCTTTTTGTCTGATGAAGAAAAGTTTAAATTGATGTGTGTAACACATAACGAGCCAGTATGACACACCAGTAACAGTATTGTCAAGGGAGTTAATGAATTATATCTGGGATATAAAATATTGTCATTCCCAGTTTATATATACTTAGAATTAAGTCAGCTGACAAAAAAAGTTGAAGAACTTTATACAAGTTAAATACAGTTACGTATGTGTTCAGTTCAATTTAAATTCTTATTTCATTTAAATTCTCATATAAACGTTGGACTCTGAGGTGCGATTGGGACTCTGAAGTGCGATGGTCCGTTCGTTGATGTTCGATGGTCTATATGACGCGTGATGGCTTGTTTAAATCTACAAATGTGCAATTATTGTGAGAAACAGTTGTTTTATAGTTAGTATATAAATCATTCAGTATTGTCTATGTGTGTCTTTAGTTACAGTTGCATACTAAATAAGAGATCGTCCTCTTTGATTATCTGCATGTGGGCATAATTTTGCGTTAATATTTTATCTTAACTGGTTCCTCTCGTGAGTTACTCGTTTACCGTAATACGGTAAGAGTTCGTCTGCGGATATGCGTGTATTTAAAGAATGTCACGCTCCATCGTACGTAAAATAGAACCTGTTGTAGATTTCACTGGGAATCATCCGCCACAGAAGGTTACCATCCCCCTCTCCACCAATCACTCCCAGTTTCCCGTATTACTAAAAGTTTATAATAGATATAAGAAGATGTGGTATGAGTGCCAATGACACAACTCTCCTTCCAAGTCAAAATTTATAAAAGTACCATTATAGGTCAAAGTACGGTCTTCAACACGCAGCCTTAGCTCACACCAAACAGCAAGCTATAAAGGGCCCCAAAAATTACTAGTGTAAAACCATTCAAACGGGAAAACCAACGATCTAATCTATATAAAAAACGAGAAACAAGAACCACTTATGAACC